AGTTTCATGTTTGCGTATAACATTAGCATTTTATACCACATTCATACGAATTAATGGGTTTGGGTAAGTTGATGAAGGAGCGAGTCGATAGTTAATTGATACTACGACCTTTTTTTAAGATAATAATTGTTATTAGATAAATAATTTATTGATGTGAAGGATTGGAGAAATAATTAATGCTCATACTTTACCCAACCAACTTCGGCTAAATGACGAATTATAGGGTATGGTAGACTTTTGTCACCGCCTATCCAACCACCGCCATGCACAAATAACTAAAGCAAATGTGAATTAATATATAAAAAAAGACAAACTGATTAAAAAAAATGATGAATTTGTTTTTAAGCAATTTATTAACGCATACGCACCAGTACAGGTTTTGGCGACTCAGAACTCAAATCTTTACGCGCATACACATCTAATGCCATGTAATTTACTTGCTCAAAATCGTGTTTTCGTACCTCAGCTGCTTCTTGAGTAGTTGCATAGTTTACTAGCGGGGTTTTGAATTGGATTATTTAAGACTTGAAATTATAAGCCAAAAATATATAATAAATAAAGACATACTATTCTCGTAGTGAAATACGTTTCCGGGAATAAATCTTGGATTTACCATTCGATGCCAGAATTTTTGACTATTTTTGGTGTTACAGGATAGTGAGTTGTTTTTATACAAGTAACATTTGCATGTTTTAGAAACATATAATGATTTTGATATGTAAAATCTACTCACCTAGTGAAAGAAGGTAGTTCAAAGGGATCGTCACCATCATTAACAGGGGCGTAAGCTTGGATCGCGTCTTCGATCGCGGATTTTACTTCATATCCGTCTAAGAAGATCACAAATAGGCTATGACATAGGAATATAAGTAAATAGATTGAAACAATTTAGAGTTGATAAAAAGACAATTCTTTTCTAGTCATCTGTAAGATGAAAAATTCTGTATATTTCATCTTTGTAATCTTTGATTAAAACAATCGAGTAAAAATTAACTCTCCAATATACAAATTTTGCATGATCCTGCCCGAAAAAATTTGGACAAAGATGATTTATTCTCTATGCATCTATTTAATAAGATATTTCTTCTTACTAACCCGATCATAGTAAGTAAATCTACTATGTAAAAAATTCTAGACGTCCAACCATCTATTATATCAAACATAATAATTAAAATATCAGTTAATTTTACAATTATAATAATCATACTATATATAATCATAACATACTGAAAACTCCAAAAACGGAGGCAAGGACTATAATTCCAATTTTCAAGATAATCAAGACGAGTGGCCATTCGGATATCAAAGAATACGCGAAGACGCTTGCTTTTTTTTACATTTTTTAATTTTGAATTTATTTGTATAATTATTAATTAGTTTCATGTTTGCGTATAACATTAGCATTTTATACCACATTCATACGAATTAATGGGTTTGGCATATTAATTGTTCTTTTGATTATATTCAAGTTAAAGAACAATAGAAAGAATCTGAAATTCTGTTCAAATTCTATTTCTTTTTTTTTATTAAAAAATTAAAGAAAAAGATACCATATTTCAACTTCTCTATGTTTGGAATTTTTCCTTCAACTGAAGCGAATGTTAATGCAGCAAATAAGGCTACACTAAAATAATAAAACCAAAATAACATTTCGTGTTTTTTTTTCGGGTAAAAGTTTGTTAAAAAATTAGATTGATTAATAGTTTCGTTAATTAATTTACAAACATAAAAAAAAAACTATGCTAACTCTAAAAACTATCCGATTACGACACGCGATCTCCATTCGGGGATGAATACCTATTCTTTTTTTATTTTTTTGACTATCGTTATGACGACGATGGGGGACGTACATGTATGCACGAAGAGTTGACATATGATTGATTTAAAAATAAATTCCCGATCTTACATGAAGGATCATGAACCCAGTCGAACATGCTAGATCTTTCTTTCAGCCACACCTGTTTTCACCGTAATAATAAAATTCACCATTAATCTCGGTGATATGCATATTGATTGTGTGGATACACCGTAAAATGATTAAACGCAGTGGAATTTGCTGGAACAAAGATGTCGTAAAGCAGTCTGACTGCTGCCTATAAAGAGGCCCTTTTTCCAGGCTCTTTTTTCAATTTGATTATTTTTACCAGATATATTAAATTAACAATCTCAAAGCTAATTTTTCCCTGAATTTACCCATATCAGCAACATCATTTTTTTATTTACCGAGTGCAAATTATTAGCAAAAACCAAATTAGAGCGAAACATCTCTTTCACATAGTCACAAATAAGTAATAAAATGACCGCCACTGAAGGAAAAGCTGGTATGTAGAATTTTTACATTAGACATTTCGCTTTTCTCCTAATCAAATAAAACAAAAAATAACCACTTTTTTTTTTAAAAAAAATTAGTTGGTATCGATCTTGGGACCACATACTCTTGTGTGGGTGTATGGCAAAATGACAGAGTCGAAATTGTCGCAAACGACCAAGGAAATCGAACAACTCCCTCTTATGTCGCATTTACAGATACAGAACGTCTTATTGGTGATGCAGCAAAAAATCAAGTAGCTATGAATCCTTATAATACTGTGTTCGATGCTAAACGACTTATTGGTCGTCGTTTCACTGATCCCGAAGTACAATCTGATATGAAGGTAATTTGAATCTGAAAAAAAAATAAAGGATTTTGTAACATTGAGTAGTTCGTTTTTAACCAATTGAATTTCTTAAAAATAATAGCATTGGCCATTCAAAGTCATCGATAAGAGTGGAAAGCCATATATCGAAGTTGAATACAAAGGAGAAAAGAAACAATTTACCCCCGAAGAAATCTCATCAATGGTCCTAACAAAAATGAAGGAAACAGCCGAAGCATTTTTGGGCACCAAAGTTCAGAATGCTGTGATCACAGTACCAGCCTACTTTAACGACTCGCAACGTCAAGCCACAAAAGATGCAGGAATGATCTCTGGATTGAATGTGTTACGTATCATTAACGAACCGACAGCCGCGGCTATTGCCTATGGTTTAGATAAGAAGGCAGCTGGTGAACGCAATGTATTGATCTTTGATTTGGGTGGTGGTACCTTTGATGTATCTCTTCTCACAATTGAAGAAGGAATCTTTGAAGTGAAAGCAACTGCCGGTGATACACATCTTGGCGGTGAAGATTTCGATAACCGTCTGGTCAATCATTTTGTACAAGAATTCAAACGAAAATTCAAGAAGGATCTCACTGCTAATGCTCGTGCCGTCCGTCGTCTAAGAACCGCTTGTGAACGTGCAAAACGTACCCTCTCTGCCTCAGCACAAACTTCGATTGAAATCGACTCATTATTCGAAGGAATTGATTTTTACACATCATTAACGCGTGCACGTTTCGAAGAATTGAATCAAGATTTGTTCAGATCCACAATGGAACCAGTCGAGAAAGTGCTTCGTGATGCAAAGATTGATAAATCTGCCGTGCATGAAATCGTATTGGTCGGTGGATCAACACGTATTCCAAAAATCCAAAAGATGGTTTCTGATTTCTTTAACGGAAAGGAACCAAATAAATCGATTAATCCCGATGAAGCCGTCGCTTACGGTGCCGCTGTGCAAGCTGCTATTCTTTCTGGTGACACTTCAGAAAAGACTCAAGATTTGTTACTTCTCGACGTTGCACCACTTTCAACTGGTATCGAAACTGCCGGTGGTGTCATGACTCCATTAATCAAACGCAACACCACAATTCCCACAAAGAAATCCGAGATCTTCTCGACATATTCCGACAATCAACCTGGTGTATTGATTCAAGTCTATGAAGGTGAACGTGCTCGAACAAAAGACAATAATTTGCTGGGTAAATTCGAGTTGACCGGAATTCCACCGGCTCCTCGTGGTGTACCACAAATTGAAGTCACCTTTGATATTGATGCAAACGGTATCTTAAATGTAAGTCATCCGCTCATATAAATTCTTAATTCTTATACGCGAAGGTAAACTGAACAAATATTTTGTTATCTTTAGGTATCTGCTGTTGATAAGACGACCGGTCGCTCGAATAAAATCACCATCACAAACGACAAAGGTCGTCTATCGAAAGAAGAAATCGACCGTATGGTTGCCGATGCTGAGAAATATAAAGCTGAAGATGAAAAAGTAGCACAAAGAATAACAGCACGCAACGGCCTAGAAAGCTATGCATATAATCTTCGAAACACATTGCAGGTAATTTATATATTCTAAATTATGCTATATTTGATATCTTTGCTACACCGATAAAGACACTAATTGATCACATTGTTCATATATTTTAGGATGAAAAAGTAGCAGGAAAACTTGACGCTGCTGACAAGAAGAAACTCGAAGAAGCAATCCAAGAAGCAATCACCTGGCTAGATAACAACAACGAAGCAGAAAAAGACGAATACGAACATAAACAAAAGACACTCGAGGAAATTGCCAATCCTATCATGATGAAATTGTATGGTGCCGGCGGTGCTCCAGGCGGATTCCCAGGTGGTGCAGCTCCAGGTGGATTCCCAGGTGCTGGTCCAACTAACGATGAAGCTGGACCAACAATTGAAGAGGTTGATTAAAAAATCTAGATTCTCCGTTAATTTGTTTATAATTGAACATTTAACCTCTCAGCACGTATAAAAAAAGTAGTTGTATAAATTTATATAATATTTTTATTTTTATTTTTACTCTTAATGCTCTAAAGACATCTGTATAATACTAGCTACAATCAAGGTGTAGTAATAGTATACTATTACATTCGTTTCGTTTCTTTAGATATTATTAATATTGTACATGATTGAAATAAGGAACTAAACTTGTGTAAATAAATATAAATTTCAATCATTTGCTTAAGCAAAAACATTATCATCATAACTCTTAAAATTTTTTTTGGTTGAAGTCATCCAAAATATCAGTGTTAGTTTAAGAGGAAATATTGATCTATTAATCCGGCTTCTTTAATAAACGAAATGTAATTATTAATGAGCAAGTCTTTATTTAATTTTTTGATTAGGTCCAGTTAATTTTTCATCGTTTTAACGCCAATCTAATTAAACAAAAAAAAAGATTAATGGGTAAATTTCAAATTACCAAACATTTAAATATAACTATCAAAAATTCGATAAAGATCATCATTATCCCCCCCTTGTAAAGTGATTTCCGGTTTATGCACGGCTATTTTTATGGTGCATATTTTTATTTATAGATTTGTATTACATGACATTCAACATTTAATTAATTAAATTTGAATCCGCAATTTCCATCCATTTGGCTTTTTAATACGGTTTGAAGATGTAAGCTCATGAATTTCTTCTGATTATATAGTACATGGACGATAAAATAAATATTATATA